AAAACCTAGAATTGAGTAATGGCTCCACTCACATGGGCTGTGATACCCAACAATGGTTTATTGTTCAGTTTTGCCGTGACTACAAAGACGTTTGAACATTCATTTCTAAGTTAGTGTAAGTTAGGCTTATGTCTGGATGTTAAATGTATTATTACTCTTGACTAGAATTCCCAAAAAAACTAAGTTTGAGGTGTTAGTTTGTAGCTTCAGATATAAATGCTAAAGTCTGATTTGAACACAATTTTCTATTCTGGATGGGAATGATATTTTCTAATATGTCCATTGTTATTGCTGAATATTATGTAGTATTAAGTGACATGTGCCCATTGTGTGTTGGAATTCTTGACTATCGGGACCAGACATGAAGCTTGAGGGGCTTCGCCCCCCCCCCCCCCGAAATTCTCATGGTGGTTTGAGAAAAGGCCTTACTGGTGCATTATTTAAACTGTTATGTTTATTCATATCATGATCTGATCACCATACTCAATATATCCCATATGCATGGGGGTATTGGGGTAATGATACAAAAGGTTTGCTAGGGTAAACCCTCTTTCACTCAGACTCAGCCCCCCCCCGAAACTCAAACTCACCCCCCCCCCCCCCCGAATCAAAATCCTGGCTATGGGCCTGATCGGGACAAAGGATGGAATGGGTTGTTGTGACTTTTCCGGGCTGCATGGCCATGCTTCAGAAGTATTCTCTCCTGACGCTTCACCTGCATCTGTGGCAGGCATCCTCAAACCTCACAACCTCTGAGAATGCCTGCCATAGATGAGGGTGAAACGTCAGGAGAGAATGCTTCTGGAAGATAGCCATACAGCCCAGAAAACTCATAACCACACAGAGATTCCGGCCATGAAAGCCTTCGACAAAGGATGGAATGTCTTTCTGTACCATTCTGAGACAGTTTTGTAAAACTCCGTCTCTGGATGTCATTCTTTCCTGGCAAGCGAATTAGCTCCCCATGCATTATATTTATTTGACTACTGAGCTGCTTGCTGAAGGCCAGCATGAATCACGCTCAGAAGCCCTTTCAGAAGAATCTGAAGAAGCCTGGAGGCTTTCTTTACTTTGAGCGGAAATTTAACCTGCGTGTCTTGTTCCGACCGAGACTGACCGGAATTTCAATGTTGGAGTGCCGTAGGAATAAAGTGTTCGTGGAAGTTGCCACTTATGCAACCACACTGGCTGCAATTGCCCAGTAACATTTTAACACCCAATGCTCTTGGCCAGAAATCTATATACTTGGCAGAGGAGAGGGCTTAATTAAATCTGTCTTTTGCTCCATCTCCTGGTTAGTAATTGGTGCCCAAAGTGAAAATGTGGGCTCAGAGGTCAGGATGGGGTACCATTGTTGGAGCTCTCCTTGTTCATTGTTGCTCTGCAGTGTAAATACGGGGATAAAAGGCCACCTTGTGCAAGAGTCACTGATGGGGAAATTGGTTTTGCTTTGCACTTTTGGCTAATATTGACCACTCAAGAGTGGAAAAGTGAGAAATGTATTGTCGAAGGCTTTCATGGCTGGAATCACTGGGTTGTTGTAGGTTTTTTTCAGGCTATATGGCCATGTTCTAGAGGCATTCTCTCCTGACATTTCGCCTGCATCTATGGCAAGCATCCTCACTACCTCTGAGGATGCTTGCCATAGATGCAGGTGAAACGTCAGGAGAAAATGCCTCTAGAACATGGCCATATCCGAAAACACCTACAACAATCCAAAAGTGAGAAAGCTGGCTTAAGAGTCCTTTGAGAGATGATCTTAGCTCGCAAGCAATGTTTTGCATGACAGCCTGATTTGACTGTGAATGGATGACAGCTGCCTAATGCAAAATCTGCTTTGGCATTTCCTTGAACGCTGCAATGACGCTGCTTTTGTGCATTTTTCATTCATTTCAGGCTGTGTCTCCCTCTGTCCCTCAAACACTGAGAAAACTGACTCGCTTTTCCCACCACAACACCTGTTTCAGTATTCCGAACTAGTTTGCATTGGCTGACTCTGTCTGCCCTGGTTGAATAGGTTACTCCATTCACTGAAAGAAAACACGCGGGCTCAATGCATTCTGCTCATTTTTGGTGTGCACAATAAAGCTCTTGCGTGCTTGGGCAGAGTCAACACTTTATTCAAGCAATAACCATAATTAGTAGCCGCATTCATCCTGAGTTTCCAATTCAGCAATTTCAGTCCAGCTTTGGAGTGCGGTCTCTTACAGAACAATTCCTTCATCGATGTTTGGAGGATCCAAATGGTGTAGTCTTGGATATGCTGACTAATTGCATTTATCTTTTGAGTGTCTGGAACTTTTTGTTCCCGAGGGAAACCTGCCCCCCAAAGATGCTTGGAATGTAAGAAAGGCATTTTTATTTATTTTCGCTTGACGTTGTTCCACTCCCAAAATTCCTTTGGGCATTTGGTGCGTCGTCATTTCAAATGGGGTGCCAACCGCTCATTGTTGTCCCCAAACTTGTTTTCTCCTGGTGTGCCAAGGTCGGCTTGACAGATCCCTTGGTTGTCATGCTCTCCTGCACGTGCCACGCAGTGTGTTTGCATGTTGTTGTTGCCATAGGAATGTGCAAGTTAGGACCAAACCCCAAAAGGCAAAGGCACCTTTCAAGCCAGGTCTGAGGGATGTCGTTGTAGAGGGAGGACAAGGGCAAACATTTGCTGCATGCAAATAGATTTCTGGGAGTCCTTGTTGGCACAGTGCTGAGCTGCTGAACTTGCTGACCGAAAGGTCACAGGTTTGCAAACTGGGGAGCAGAGTGAGCTCCCACTGTTAGCCCCAGCTTCTCCCAACCTAGCTGTTCAAAAACATGCAAATGTACGTAGATCATAGGTACCGCTCCAGCAGGGTGCTTCATGCAGTCATGCTGGCCACATGACCTTGGAGGTGTTATGGACAACGCTGGCTCTTTGGCTAGGAAATGGAGATGAGCACCAATCTCCAGAGCAGAAATGGAGATGAGCAACAATCCCCAGAGTGGGACTTGACTAGACTTAATGTCAAGGGGGAAACCTTTACCTTAAATAGATTTCTGCTCTGTTGAGGAAGAACCAGAGCTTGGAAGAGCAGTACCTATTGATCTACTCACATTAGCATGTTTTCGAACTGCTAGGTTGGCAGGAGCTGGGGCTAACAGCGGGAGCTCACCCCATTCCCCAGATTTGAACCGCTGATCTTTCTAGGAGAAAAGGCAACACCTGTATAACTATGCCATATGCAAACAATCCTGTGCTAAGTGGAATAAGTGTGACTGCGTGTTGTGGGATCTTGACTGCTATTCCATGCTTTCGTTTCCAAGCCCCTCTGCAGTGTCTGTTTTGTCTGGCACGTGTCTCTTGCGATGATGAGTCAGACCATTTTGCAGTTTTTTTTAATGCCCGAAGGCTGGAGCGGCGAGGCGGATCTGTGACAAATTGCAAGCTGCTGTCTTTCCCTAGGCCCTTGGTATTAGGAGAGATCAAGCATATAACAATAGGATTTGCTTTTTTTTGTAACTGCAATGCCACTGTGCAAAATGATTTTCATATATAAGCTTGGTAATCCTTAGAACATTTCTTTACCTTCTTCCTTTAGTGAAGATAGTGAGGCTCCTGTTGAGAGTCAGTGGTTTTCTTATGACCATCTAGTGCAGGCATAGGCACGGCCTTTGGGAATTGTGAGAGTTGAAGTCCAAAACATTTTGAGGGCCAAATTTTGCCCATGCCTAATCTAGTGAATTTATGGTACGGGAAAAGGAAATCTGGAAAGGGGTGCTATTTTCACCCCTTGGGAAAATTTTAGTTTTCACAAAGTTTCAGAGCTATTTAGGTGGTTGTTTCCTTTGTCTCAAAATACATAGGCAATGCTCCTTTTTTAGTGTCAGGGGTGACTTGAGAAACTGCAAGTTGCTTCTACTGTGAGAGAGTTGGTCATCTGCAAGGGCATTGTCCATGGGATGCCTGGATGTTTTACCATCCTGGGGGAGGCTTCTCTCATGTCCCTGCATGAGAAGCTGGAGCTGATAGACAGGAGCTCACCTCGCTCTCCAGATTTAAACTGGCAATCTCTCAGTAAGACGTCCTGCTGGCACAAGGGTTTAACCCATTGCACTACCAGGGGCTGCATTGCTGTGATGTTCTTGAGCAGTGTTTCTCAACCTGGGGGTCGGGACCCCTGGGGGGGTCGCAAGGGGGTGTCAGAGGGGTCACCAAAGACCATCAGAAAACATAGTATTTTCTGTTGGTCATGAGGGTTCTGTGTGGGAAGTTTGGCCCAGTTCTATCCTTGATGGGGTTCAGAATGCTCTTTGGTTGTAGGTGAACTATAAATCCCAGGAACTACAATTCCCAAATATCAAGGTCTGTTTTCCCCAAAGTCCCCCAGTGTTCAAATTTGGCATATTGCCTATTCATGCCGTTTGGTCCAGATCCATCATTGTTTGAGTACACAGTGCTCTCTGGATGTAGGTAAACTACAACTCCAAAACTTAAGGTCAATGCTCACCAAACCCTTCTAGTATTTTCTGTTAGTCATGGAAGTTCTGTGTGCCAAGTTTGGTTCAATTCAATCATTGGTGGAGTTCAGAATTCTCTTTGGTTATAGGTGAACTATAAATCCCAGCAACTACAGTTCCCAAATGTCAAGGTCTATTTTCCCCAAAGTTACCCAGTGTTCAAATTTGGCATATTGACTATTCATGCCAAGTTTAGTCCAGATCCATCATTGTTTGAGTCAACAGTGCTCTCTGGATGTAGATGAACTACAACTCCAAAACTTAAGGTCAATGCCCACAAACCCTTCCAGTATTTTCTGTTGATCATGGAAGTTCTTTGTGCTAAGTTTGGTTCAATTCCATTACTGGTGGAGTTCAGAATGCTCTTTGATTGGAGGTGAACTATAAATGCCAGTGTTTATCCCAGTTTACTTCTTCAGTAATGTCCAGTATTAAAGCTGTAAAAGTCAACCTCCATTGTCTCACCAGCCGTTTCTTTCCTTTTTCTCTTCCAAACCCCTTCGCAGCCTGCGGTCCGCAGCTCACCAATTCTCCCACTGTGATTGTGATGGTTGGCCTCCCCGCCCGCGGAAAGACCTACATTTCCAAGAAGCTGACACGCTACCTCAATTGGATTGGCGTGCCAACAAAAGGTGAGCTTCATTGCTTGCAAACTGGAGTCACGACAGTAACTTCAAGCACAACTTCCTATGTGAATGCACCATCCACTAATCCATTGCCACCAGTGTTTATGTTTTTGGAAATGAACCCTCTTCAGATGGATGCCTGAAGACATGCTCTCGGAACAGGCCTCACGTTTGGTTGATTTTTTTTTCTGAAACATTTCCACACATACACATACATTATGTGCTCAAGAATAATTCATTGGGAATCAAGTTGTGTACCTTTCTGATAGGCCATATTTGGTGTGCCAGATGTCCTATATATTCCACATGTCTTTCATATCCATCGATCTTGTATAAAAGTATTACTTGACACTTGTGGCCTGCAGATTGAATTTTTGGCTGCTTACCCCTGGTGGCTGAGCAGGTTTATTTATTTATTATTTATTTATTTACTCCTTTTGTATACCGCAAATATCAGCCAACGGCGACTCTAAGCGGTTCTAAGCAGGTTAAACTGCTGAGCTGCTGAACTTGCTGACCGAAAAGTTGGCAGTTCGAATCCTGGGACCAGGGTGAGCTCCCAATGTTAGCCCCAGCTTCTGCCAACCTAGCAGTTTGAAAGCATGCAAATGTGAGTAAATCAATAGATACACAAGCATGTGGACAATTTCAACAGAAAGGAGGAAACCATGAAAATGAACAAAGTCTGGCTACCAGTATTAGAAAACTCTAAAATTACAACAGCACAACAACAGAGAGGAAACAAACAAGGACATCTAATCACCTCTCAACAAAAGTTTGCTCCAGGCACTGTCAGGCCATTATATGCTAATCAGGTGGTCAGTTGAAACATTCACACCTAGCTCCAGCAGACAAGAGTCCTTTGTCCCACCCTGGTCATTCCACAGATATATAAACCCTTTTTCCTAGTTCCAACAGACCTCACTACCTCTGAGGATGCTTGCCATAGATGCAGGTGAAACGTCAGGAGAGAATGCCTCTAGAACATGGCCATATAGCCCAAAAAAAACCTACAACAACCAAGTAAAACTTTATTTCTATCCCGCCCTAACTCCCATGGGGACTCAGGATGGAGGAGGCTACGGACAATCTGGCTCTTGGCTTAGAAATGGAGATGAGCACCACCCCCAGAGTCGGACACCACTAGACTTAATGTCAAAGGGAAAACTTTTACCTTTACTTTACCCATGGGAAGGAAATCATGCAACGTGGCGATCATATAGTACCCAATATGGTGCCATGCTTGGGCTATTGGGACAAAAAGCAACAGTCTGTCACATCAGGCAGCTTGGGAAGAAGTGATTTATAGCATGTTTGAAGATATCTTTCCAAGAAGCTGTTTCTGACTTAAAGTCCCAGCTACGAGTACATCATTTCTTTGTATGGAGAATGTGCCCAGGTTCCATTCCTATACAAAATATTGGCCTCATAAGAACTCCGATGAGTTCCAAATAATGCATATAGATAATATCAGTCTAGATGGATCAGTAGCCTCAGTTAGGACAAGCCATTTTGTATGTTCACAGAAGTGGAACATCTTGGAGATTTGAATGGTGTGATTGCATCCCATAGTAAAAGAAAGCAAGATGGAGAGTGATGTCCTATTAATGTACATAACTAATTCAGCCTTTCAATAAACATACCACTCTATACCTAAAATTATTAGCCTGTGCATAGCTGTGTAAGTCTGTTGTGCACATCAACAACCTAGAGAAAGCATTCCTTTATCAAAACCTTCCTCTATGCCTTGGGAAGATGAAGAGTTGGTCCTTCCTGTTAGGATACACAATGGCCTGTTTTGCCTTGGGAAGCTCACTGAATTTCATTTGTTTGCTTCTTGCCTGAAGCTTGCCTTCTTTTTGTCTTGCAGTGTTCAATGTTGGGGAATATCGCAGGGAGGCTGTCAAACATTACAGCTCCTATGACTTCTTTCGCCCTGACAATGAGGAGGCTATGAAAGTCCGGAAGTAAGTGTGATTCATAGTGGATTCCTTTGAGTTGAGTGCTTTCTTGGCATTCTTGCAGGCATCTGAGTGGAGGGTCCCTTTCATACCATTGAGGATAGCCCAAGAAGACATGCCAATCCCTATTTATTTATTTACTGTATTTGTATACCGCCTTTCTCAGCCTGTAGGCAACTCAAGGTGGTTAACAGGGCAAGATTCAATGCTTACAATGTCATAAATACAATTAAAAAACATATAATAAAATAAACAAATCAATAAAATATAAATTCATAGTGTCTCCTTGTTAAAAATGTTGTCTGGTCTCATTGTCTAGTCATTCCATTTTCCTATGTCAGTTACTTTGCATTTGCAAGCACTTGTTCCAAAAATCACATCTTGATTTTTTTCTGGAATGTTAAAAGGGAGGTGGCCGATCTAATATCTATAGGGAGGGTGTTCCACAGCCGAGGGGCCACCACCGAGAAGGCTCTGTCTCTTGTCTCCACCAAATGTACTTGGGACGAAGGTGGTAACGAGAGCAGGGCTTCCCTAGACGATCTTAAGGTCATAGATGGTTCATAAGGGGAGATGCATTCTGACATGTAAATTGGGCCAGAACCATTTAGGGCAGTGGTTCTCAACTTGTGAGTCCCCAGGTGTTTTAGCCTACAACTCCCAGAAATCCCAGCTAGTTTACCAGCTGTTAGGATTTCTGGGAGTTGAAGGCCAAAACATCTGGGGACTCGCAGGTTGAGAACCACTGGTTGTGGGCTTTATAGGCTAAAGAAACACTGTCCAGGAGGAAAGCTAAAGGAAACAAATTAGGATTGAAAGTGAAATGGTTTTTCAGTCCTACATGTATCTGCTTCAACGGGTTTTGATGTTGGTGGATCAGTGAATCCACTTTCCCCAATAATTTCAGCACCTTGGATAGCTCCCTTAAGATATGTACAGTGTTACCTCGCTGGTTTGTGGTTCACTAACCATGGACATGCTGTTTCGCGACTTTTCAAAAACATTAATTTAAAATACAAGTAGCATACAAGTAGAGGAAGAGCGAGAGAGAGGAGGGGAAAAGGAGTGGGTGGAGCTATACTGTACATATACAGTATAGCATCCCTACATTGTGGTTTTTCACTTATCGCAGGGGTTCCTGAAACTGAACTCCTGTAAGGGAACACTGTATTCCCTCCTGCAAACAAGCTTTTGAGCATCACTGTATATCTTCCTTGGGACAGCCCATCATGGCCTGGATTATGTATTAAGATCAGACTGGAGAGGCTTTTGGAACAGATGGGTCAATTCTAGATCCCAACTTTGCAATTTGGAGCATGCTTAACGCATTTTTTCCTGTTGTTGCAGGCAATGTGCCTTAGCTGCCTTGAGAGACGTCAAGGTGTACTTGTCTGAGGAAGGGGGTCAGATTGCGGTGAGTAGTTTTATGGTTGATGTATTTAATATTTTTTTCCTGAAACCTTAAGGCTTTGCTGCAGGCAGAATTGACGTTCTGTCTCTCATTGTTTGAATGTACCTTTTCAGCATTAGATCATGTGACCCTATGATTATATTCCTGGCTCCACTGCTTTGTATTTCGAACATTTCATAGAATCAAAGAGTTGGAAGAGACCTCATGGGCCATCCAGTCCAACCCCCTGCCAAGAAGCAGGAATGTTGCATTCAAATCACCCCTGACAGATGGCCATCCAGCCTCTGTTTAAAAGCTTCCAAAGAAGGAGCCTCCACCACACTCCAGGGCAGAGAGTTCCACTGCTGAACGGCTCTCACAGTCAGGAAGTTCTTTCTTGTGTTCAGATGGAATCCCTTCTCTTGTAGTTTGAAGCCATTGTTCCGCGTCCTAGTCTCCAAGGAAGCAGAAAACAAGCTTGCTCCCTCCTCCCTGTGGCTTCCTCTCATATATTTATACATGGCTATCCTCTCCTCTCAGCCTTCTCTTCTTCAGGCTAAACATGCTCAGCTCCTTAAGTCGCTCCTCATAGGGCTTGTTCTCCAGATTCCTTTATTATAAATTAGGTTTTGTGCTTCGATACCGCTCTCTTTTATTGACAGTAGAATCATCCTAAATGGGAGTGGAATTCATCTTTTGCATGCAAAAGGATCCAGGTTCAGCCAATGGTGTCCCCCAAGTTTTTGTTTCAAATCGTGACACTTTGAAGAGATGATGCCAGTTGACTGACAATATGAGTCAGATAGCCAAATGGCTTGGTGAGAGGCGGCTTGCTAAATCCCAGCTCTTTTTTTGATACTCAGAAGCTACTCAGCAGTCTCATTTTCAGTGCTCATCTTTTCTCCTGCTGGTCTTTACAATTTTGCTTTCTACAATAAAGGTTTTTGATGCCACAAACACGACCCGAGAGAGAAGATCAATGATCTTGCATTTTGCCAAAGAAAATGGATTCAAAGTGAGTAAAAAGATCTGATGATACAAAATTAACGTGGTTGCTTATGTCGTAATGACTCATTTTTAAATATGGGCATCTTCCTTCTGTTCCCACCAGGTGTTCTTCATTGAGTCAGTCTGCAATGACCCAACTGTTGTCGCCACCAACATCATGGTAAGCGGGAAAGGTGTCCCTCTCTATTAATGTTGTTGAGAGTCAAGTGTTGAACAGAGCTTAGAAAAGTTACTTTTTTGGAGTACAATTTCCAGGATTCACAGCCAACATTCTGGGAATTGTAGGACCTTTTCCAAGTTCTGTTATTCCCCGTCAAGCCTTGAGCTTTTGTTTGGCTTGTTTGAAGTCTGTTAAAGTATTGGACTCTTAATGGTTGACCTTGAGTAGGTTCTCCTCCATCCGTTGTGAAAATTGGTCCAGTCATGATACTGTGATGCATGCAGTGGCCAAAGGCTGTTTTTAATTTGCTTTAGGTTGTGTATTGTTATGTTGTGTTTTGAGGCCTTGGCCTTTGTAAGCCGCATTGAGTCCTTCGGGAGATGCTAGCGGGGTACAAATAAAGTTAATAATAATAATAATAATATGAATGGCTTACATTTCTTTCTCCATCCTCTGAACGATTTGGGTCTCTGTGGGTCGTTAGACCAGAAGCTGTTCAAATTGACTGTGGGTGGTAGATCTATCCCTTTGGAAGCCCTTTTTGGCCAGGCTAAGGTCCCATCTCCACTACCATATAAAGTCCAGATTATCTGCTTTGACCTCGATTACATGACAGTGTAGATTCCTATAATCTGGTTCAAAGCAGGCACTGTAGATTATCTACCCCTAATCTGGATTATAAGGCAGTGTATATCCAGCCTAGGAGCCCCCAGTGGTGCAGTGGGTTAAAGCACTGAGCTGCTGAGCTTGTTGATGGAAAGACTGCAGGTTCAATTCCAGGGAACGGCGTGAGCTTCCCCTGTCAGCCCCAGCTTCTGCCAACCTAGCAGTTCGAAAACATGCAAATGTGAGTAGATCAATAGGTACGCTCCAGCGGGAAGGTAACGGCTCCATGCAGTCATGCTGGCCACATGACCTTGGAGGTGTCTATGGAGAACGCCGGCTCTTCGGCTTAGAAATGGAGATGAGCACCACACCCCAGAGTCAGACATGACTGGACTTAATGTCAGGGGACAACTCTTTACCTTTACTTTATATCCAGCCTAACATGGGAGCAGTTGTGGTCAACCTTGGAGGATCCTTATCTCTCCCCATTTTCTATCACGTTCTGACAACTGGTACTGAAACATTGCAGTGTATACAGTTGTCCCCTGCCAACATAGCAGTAAAATAACCTTAGTTTTATGCCAAAACCTATCTCAGTATATATGTTCTTCTCCTTCCTCTCTCTTTGTATGACTTTAGGAAGTGAAGCTGTCTAGCCCAGATTATAAGGATTGCAATTCCAATGATGCTATGGAAGATTTTATGAAGAGGATCAGTTGTTATCAGTCGAGTTACCAGCCTCTTGACCCAGACGACTATGACAGGTAAGGACATGATGGTGTTTCATGGAATCCTATAATTAGAAGAGAAAAAATAAGTTGGATGTATTTATTATTCCTGCCAAAGTTACTAGGTGCATATGGAAAGTGCAGCCAGCTCTACATACTTGCAAGTTCAACTTTTGTAGATTTGATTATTCCAGAGTTGAGCAATATATTCTCTCTAGGAATCTCTAGGTCCTCCAGCAATATCCACTTAGGTATTTGAAGATCCTCCAATGCAATATGGTTTTTGATCTACCGCATGGCGTTTTTTTTATTCTTCCCCAGAGAATTATCGCTTATCAAGGTGATTGATGTCGGCAGGCGCTACCTAGTGAACAGGGTTCAAGACCATATCCAGAGTCGCATAGTCTACTATTTAATGAACATCCATGTCCAGCCCCGCACCATCTACTTGTGCCGGCACGGCGAGAGCGAATCCAACCTCAAAGGGAGGATTGGAGGAGACTCGGGGCTCTCCAGCAGAGGCAAGAAGGTAGGTTTCTGTTTTCTGGAGTGAAGAAAGTGGTTTACTTTAATGTAATTTCACTGCAGTCTAGTGTCCGCTCATCAGGGAGTAATCCCAAATTGAAACCTGCTAACCCTGTCTGAACAAACTCATGGGATTGGGTTCGTAGGAATGTGAGCTGAGTACCTTACTGATATCTTGTAACATCTAAATCAGGTGTGGGCAAACTTTGGCCCTCCAGATGTTTTGGACTTATACTCCCAAGGCTGTGGGAGTTGAAGTTCAAAATAGCTGAAGGGCTGAAGTTTGCCTTAGCCTGATCTAAATTGTGCCAAATAAGAATACATTCTCAAATAATCATGCACTGCTGTTAGACTAAGCAAAGATTGATATTCTTATTATGGACACAGTTGAACCTCTGTTTGCCACATCTGTCTATGAGTTGAGAAAGGGCGATAACAAGGTCATAACTCATTTTCATAAATCTTTTCTCCATTTATTTTCCTTTTCTAGTTTTCCATTGCACTGAAACATTTTGTCCAGGAGCAGAACCTGAAAGATCTTAGGGTCTGGACCAGTCAGTTGAAGAGGACAATCCAGACAGCAGAAGCCCTTGACTTGCCCTATGAGCAGTGGAAGGCCTTGAATGAAATTGATGCCGTAAGTGTTTTTGCTGGATTGGAGGTGTCATTCTGATAGAGAAGAAGAGGTTGTTCCCTTCCTATAGCCTCCTTCTCCCAAAGGGGACAGTAGGGGGGGGGGCGTACTTTGGTCTCCAGAGTACCATAAGAAGAACCTAAGAAGACTAGAACACAGTACAGTTTGGGGATGGGTACTCTAACCTCCCCATCTCTGAATTTTGCCATAGCAGCAGGAGGAACATTTCTCCTTGGTTCTTTCAGGGTGTGTGTGAAGAGATGACGTACGATGAAATAAAGGAGAAGTATCCCGAAGAGTTCACTTTGCGTGACCAGGACAAATACTACTATCGCTATCCATCAGGAGAGGTATGTCCTGTGGAAGGGAGGGGGCTGTAGCTGCAAAAATATGGGAAGAATGAAGAGGAAGTGGGTGGAAAGTGCCTTTGTGGACCCTTCTTCTGCTGTTCCTCAACTGAGAGTGTTTCCCTTCTAGCCTGGAGAACATCGAGAGAAGCACCATCTCCTTGTTGGCCTAACTGACCTTTGAGTTCTTCTGTCTTCTACAACATCTTGATCTTTGCTTTGTTTTCTTGCTTCTCCTGCAGTCCTATCAAGATTTGGACTTTCTGGTCTCCACAAATCCATTTTTGGTGGCCTGGAGAACATTGATAAAAGCACCATCTCCTTTTCAGCCTAATTGACCTTTGAGTTGTCCTGTCTTCTGCAACATCTTGATCTTTGCTTTGTTTTCTTCTCCTGCAGTCCTACCAAGATTTGGACTTTCTGGTCTCCACAAAACCATTTTTGGTGGCCTGGAGAACATCGAGAGAAGCACCATCTCCTTTTCAGCCTAATTGACCTTTGAGTTCTTCTGTCTTTGGCAACACTTTGATCTTTGCTTTGTTTTCTTGTGTCTCCTGCAGTCCTACCAAGATTTGGTGCAGCGTCTGGAGCCGGTCATCATGGAGCTGGAGAGGCAGGAGAATGTCCTCGTCATCTGCCACCAAGCCGTTATGCGGTGTCTCCTGGCCTACTTCCTTGACAAGAGTGCAGGTGAGTGACCTCAAAGCATTGTCTGTCACCTGTCTACCTGCCCCTCTTCCTAAACTCTTTGCACCATGATCCAATACATCAGGCATGGGAAATGTTTGGCCCTCCAGGTGTTTTGGACTTCAACTCCCACAATTCCTAACAGCCTACCGGCTGTTAGGAATTGTGGGAGATGAAGTCCAAAACACCTGGAGGGCCAAACATTTCCCATGCCTGTTATGTACTGTTACCTTGAAATCTGTGGGACCTACTTGAAACTCTACTGAGTATAGTTGAACCAGAAAAAGATCATGTTCATCTACTTGCATCACTTTGTTTGCAGAGCATTCCAAAATCATCACGCCCCAAGAAGCTTAAAATCTAAAGAATGTTGGCAGAGGAAAACAAGACTTTGAGAGAGAAAGGCCAGGAGGAAATATTCAGTCAATGCATTTAGATGTGCCTGGGCTTTAGTTTTAGTTTTGAGTAGGTCGGCTTGCCCCAACTTGAGAGGAATTGCATTTTCCAGTTGGTCACTTTGTTGTCTTTCTTTTCAGAGGAAATGCCTTACTTGAAATGCCCACTCCACACAGTGCTAAAGCTGACTCCTGTGGCCTATGGTGAGTCACGCTCAGAATTACTTTTCTATCTGTTGTTGTTGTTCTTGTTGTCAAATACTGCTCAGGTTAAAATATTGCATCATAAATAAGGTTGTGTAATTTCAGGGGTTATTTTTGTTTTTGCACAAGTCATGTAATTCAGATGGCTTGTGCATGTATTTCTGATTAACACAAAGCCTGAGCGTGACCTCATCCTCTTATTTCATTTCATGCGCAGTGAGGACAAAGGGCTCAGCCCAAAAAGCTTGGCCTCTTTCCCGGTCAAGTGAATTTTCGCCCCTTTTGCACCTGACGAAGTCAGAGGGAACCTGCCTTGCCCTGACCGTAGGGCAGATGGGTGTGTCAGACAGTGTTCCTCTCTCCTGTAATCGTTGGGGTGATAAATCTGATTCAAGAAAATGCAGTGGATTACGATTAATCCAGTGATTGATTATTTCCAAATCTTTTGTGCATTTTTTGGGTATAGATTTTTTTAAAATCATGGAATGATTCATATTGCCTTGGTCATCAGCACCATCTTGATTTACACCCCAAAATTGGAACCAGAAGCATCTCACCATTGTAGCATATACAGTATTACAGACTGAATATTTCTTATCTGGAGATGGAAAATTGTCCTCATAGATGGCTGAGAAAGTGTGCCATTGCCTTCCCATGGTCTAATGTACATAAACACAAGTACATTTATATATACCAAAATCCCAAACACTTCTGGTCCCAAGGATTTAGGATCAGGGATAACCAACCTGTATAATCGTCACCATCATTTAATTAAATAGTGCTTTACAAGTAAAAAAAATGATGTGGAAACACAACATACAAACTATCTACAGACCCACCAAGAAAATCCAACAAATGCTACGTTCAGCAAAGGACAAGACGGATCCTACCATGTACCATGCAGCTGTGGACAAGTCTACATAGGGACCACCAAACACAGCAGCATTGCCCAAACACGAATCAAGGAACATGAAAGGCACTGCAGACTCCTTCAACCAGAGAAGTCAGCCATAGCAGAGCACCTGATGAACCAACCTGGACACAGCATAGTATTTGAGAAGACAGAAATGCTGGACCACTCTCACAACCACCATGTCAGACTACCCAGAGAAGCCATTGAAATCCACAAGCATGTGGGCAATTTCAACAGAAAGGAAGAAACCATGAAAATTAACAAAATCTGGCTACCAGTAGTAAAAAACTCAAAAATCACAACAGCAAAACAACAGAGAGTAAACAATCAGGCACATCAAATCACCTCTCAACAAAAGATTCCCCCCAGGCACTTCCAAGCCATTGTATGCTAATCAAGGTGGTCAGTTGAAACATTCACACCTAGCTCCAGCAGACAAAAGTCCTTTGTCCCACCCTGGTCATTCCACAGATATATAAACCCATTTTCCTAATTCCAACAGACTTCACTGCCTCTGAGGATGCTTGCCATAGATGCAGGCGAAACCCCCCAAAAACACCACACACACACACACACACACACATGTACATATACACATGCACACATACATAGACATACGCATATATATTCCCAAGCATACACAAATATATATACACATACATCTACATGCACACACCATATACATATACACATGCACACAAATATACACATGCACACACACATACATACATACACACACACACACATAAACACAATATACATATACACATATAAACACACAAATATCTACACACACATGTGCACACATACACACACATACAGACTGGGCCACAGCAACGCGTGGCAGGGGACGGCTAGTATAAAATAAATTACTAGTGGAGACTTGAAGGTTGTTATTTCCAACATAATACATAATATGTATAAACATTTCTTGGGGCTCCATGAGAAACTTTTGCTTCAAAAAGGGCTCCATGGCTGAAAAAGTTTTAAGAACTCCTGATTTAAAACATCTCCAAACTGATGAGAAGATACCCTTTCCGCCTCTGGTTTCTGAATGTTTGATTCAATTAATGATTAAACTGCTTCATCTGCCTGATTTTAAGTTAGGTTCCCCCCCCCCCCCCTAATAGATCAAAGCATTCCTGATTTGCAAAATTTTCCAGTTTAGTCTCTTCACCGTGAACATTGAGTCCCAAGCAATTGACCGTGTCTTGCCTTGTTGTCTCCATTTCCCTCAAGGTTGCAGAGTGGAGTCCATCTCCTTGAACGTGGAGGCGGTGAACACCCACCGGGACCGACCGGAGGTGAGGGCCCCCCCGTCGCCCGTTGAGCCCTCCTCCCCCCCGCCTTGTGTGCAGGGAAAGGCCCTGGGTAGACGTCTGTGTTTTAGAAAAACGCTCAGAGACGGATGCCCTCTCCTTGTAAGCAGTGTTTCTTTTTCCTTGCAGTCAGTTTATGCTGGAAGGATGGTAGTAGTGGTAATACGGTTGGCCCTCCATATCTATGCGGGATTTTGTTCCCTTTATGGATAGCAAAACTAATAATGTAAAGAGACTCCTCTGCTTCCATCAGAGTCTACCTCAGGCATAGGCAAACTCTGTGGCGTAATATAAAATAAACCACGTGTAGTTCATGATTGATCAACCCACACACTCCCTTGCCAGAGAAAGAAAATGTGCCATGCAGGTGAACAGTAAAGAACAAGTTGTTTACTCTTCGTAGTTCATATAAATGTCATTTTATGAGAGGAGCTCCCAGTGGTGTAGTGGGTTAAAACGCTGATCTGCTAAACTTGTTGACTGAAAGGTTGCAGGTTTGAATCCGGGGAGCAGCAGGAGCTTCCGCTGTCAGCCCCAGCTTCTGCCAACCTAGCAGTTCAAAAACATGCAAATGTGAGTAGAGCAATAGGTACTGCTCCTGCAGGAAAATATCTGCGCTCCATGCAGTCATGCTGGCCACATGACCTTGGAGGTGTCTATGGACAACACCGGCTCTTCGGCTTATAAATGGAGATGAGCACCAATTTCCAGAGTCGAACACGACTAGACTTAATGTAAGGGGAAAACTTTTAGCTTTTCCTATGAGAGGTTTAAAATAGTATTTCTTTGTCCATGTGGAGAATTTTCCTCCAGCAGCTCATGAAGCAAGAGTACACTCCAAAATCTGTCTCTCTCTCTGTGCCTCTCTCTTTTCATCTCTCTCTACATGTTCATAGCTCAAGCCTGAACAAAAATGTACCAGTATCCAAAAGTCCCAGGCTCAGCTAGCTCTCTGGCATTGTCCAACCAATCAGCTTCATGCATCTTATTTTACAGTTGACACACACTCACTGGTTCCTTGCATGCTCCAACGAACTCTGGCCCTCCAGGTGTTTTGGACTTCAACTCCCACCATTCCTAACAGCCTACTGGCTGCTAGGAATTGTGGGAGTTGGAAGTCCAAAACACTTGGAGGGCCAGTGGTTGCCCAACCTAGTCTACCCGGTGGAGTGCGGGACTGCTTTTTTTTTTTTTTTTACATACTCCAAGGTGGCTTGATGGTAACATCTAGTACAGATCATTCCTCACCATTATCCATGATTTTCTCCTCCTAGAGCAAGTTCAGGAGTATATTGCCTGCAGACACTGTTGTCGAACTGTAACAATATTTTGAATTTTTGAAGTATTTTTGGTCCAGATCCTGCAGATATGGAGGGCCCACTGTAGTAGTAGAGTAACTGTAGTTGGAGCAGCAGTAGTAATAGAAAAGGATTGTGTTTAGTAGCTCTTTTTAGCCATTTGAACTGTCTCACCTTATGTCTTGGCCAAACATGGGGTGGGGTCCTTATAGTTGCATGCTTTTGCAAAACGCCTCTGCCCTGAAACAGGACAGTTTGTGGGGAAACTAGTTGGTGATAAGGGCAACTTGTTGCCTAGCTGGACATTTAAAAAAAAAATACTGTGAAGAGGGCATGTTTCAGTTAATATAGAGAAGCATTCTCTTTCATGAGAGCCAAAGACCCTTCCCCAGATATCAATTAGTATGGCCAGACAAGGGAACATCCCAGGATTTGAGGGATTTCAACCTAAGGGTGCTCTCTTGTGAAGGATTTGGCTTTGGTGGCAATATTTGTTACCACCGGAGCCCCCGGTGGTGCAGTGGGTTAAACCCTTGTGCCGGCAGGACTGCTGACCGAAAGGTCGGCGGTTTGAGTCGGGTGATCGGGGTGAGCTCTTGTCTGTCAGCTCCAGCTTCCCATGTAGGAATGTGAGAGAAGCCTTTCACAGGATGCTGAAACATCCAGGAGTCCCTTGGGCAATGTCCTTGCAAATGGCCAATTCTCTCACACCAGAAGTGACTTGCAGTTTCTCAAGTCACTTCTGACACAAAAAACCTAAAAGTTAGAATTTGTATCCCACCTTACTCCCAGACAAGGTTGCAAGACTGATGTCCGAAAGAGCAACAATTTAAAGGTTTTCTCAATGAAGGGTACGTCCTTAAAGGTAGCACAGTTTCCCAAAGGCGTGCCTTTGAGATCAAAAGCATGAAAAAGCTACTGATGGAAATAGATATATGTATACTTTTCCCCCCTGACATCCCTCCCCATTTGCCCTTGGTTGGAGAAGAAAGATAAGCCCTAAAGCCTACAAGCCATTCAGAGATAGCTCACTCCAACTTTGGAAAAGTTTTCTTCCTGTCTATGCACAGTTTGCTTTTTGGCAAAAATTAAAGTGTTTGCATTTTATGGATTGAGGGAAATGCTTGTAAACTCATGAGATTTTGGACTCTTTATGGCAGCTATGGGCAAACTTTGGCCTTCCAGGTGTTTCGGACCGACTGTTAGGAATTGTGGGAGTTGAAGTCCGAAACACCTGGAAGGCCAAAGTTTGTTAATGTCCATTTTATGGGAATATGAATGTTAAAAATCCCAGGAGGAGAATGTGAGTGGGTGTATGGATGTGTATGGGAGTTTTTGCTTACTTAAAAATGCCTTCAGTCGTTACTTGTTAAGCAATGTTTTGGAAGTGCATTTGAGGCTGTGACACCGTGTGGCATGGCGGTTTGGAACATAGGTGTGCAGTGATGTAGGAAAAGGCAATACTGGCTCCCCTCATATTAATATGTCTTTCAGGGACCCTGTACTCGAATAATACTTACATTGAGACTTGATGCATACTTTGGGTGATAATTGGGAAGGAGATAGAAAACCTTTTCCAATGGCAGGCAAAAGTGAGTTCAAGATCCAGCATTCCAGTCTCAGAAGGAATATCATTAGTGAAGAATGCTGAAACCTCTCCAGACTGGTTCCCCACTTTCTCTATTCACTACCAAGTTACAAATACCTATCAGCATCCCACTTAGAGAAGTGTTATCTCAAACCTAGGCTAGGGCAGTGGGAAGTTATCCCAGTTCTTCAGACCTTTGAGAGGTCTAAATAAGCTTTCCTAAATCGTGACATTAGTGAAAGCCATATCGTCTTCTGTGTTGTCGAAGGCTTCCATGGCCGGACTCACTGGGTTGCTGTGAGTCTTCTGGGCTGTATGGCTATGTTCCTGAAGCATTATCTCCTCTAACGTTTGCCTGCATCTATAGCAGGTATCCCCAGAGGTTGTGAGGTCAGTTGGAAACCAGGCAAGTGGGGTTATCTGTGGAATGTCCAGGGTGGGAGAAAGAACTCTTATCTGCTTGAGGCAAGTGTGAATGTTGCCATTGGCCACCTTGATTAGCATTAAATGGCCAATTTGCAACTGGGCAAGGACTTTTCACTCTCGATAATACGTTCAGTGTGACTTCGTTAAGTATTTCTTAGTATTCACCCTAAAGTTGCAGTGTTTAGATGAGAGATGGGTAAACTTTGACCCTCCAGGTGTTTTGGATTGCAATTCCAAAACACCGGGAGGGCCAAAATTTGCCCATACCTTGCTTTCTTCAGAGGTCCAACAGAGACTTTTAAGTCTGAACCCAGAACCTCTTTATATTCCTGTCTTGAAACCATATGCTGAGTCTCTTTATACGCTGTGTTTGTGAGAGAGTTTTGCAAGAGTGGGACCTCGCATCATTTCAAAATATCCCCAAGTCTTCCCCCAACTTTCACTTTTTGTTTTGGAATGTTTTGGCAGATCAACTTAACCCATCATATGTTTTTTTTTTAAACTGCTTTCTTCATACGTTTTGCTGCCTTCTTCCTTATTATTCTTTTGTTTTTTATCTTTGTCTCGCTCTAATTTAGGATGCAAAGAAGGGACCTAACACCCTCATGAGACGCAATAGCGTCACCCCTCTAGCGAGCCCAGAGCCCACCAAAAAACCTCGCATCAACAGCTTTGAGGAGCATGTGGCCGCTGCCGCCGCCGCTGCTGCCGCTTCCGCTACCCTGCCCACCATCTGTATTCCCCCGGAGGTGCCCACCCAGGTGCCTGGACAAGTTGGTTACTTTCTTTTGTTGGCGGTTTGGCCTTTATTTTTTGGTGTGTGTGATGCTGGCAGGGATGCTGTTGATGTCTGAGTGTTGTGGCTGTTGTCATTGCATGCTTGTGCCATCTGTTGCTTTAAATCTGGGGAGGTAGTACAGTAGAGCTTCGCTGATCCAACCTTCACTCATCCGACGTTCTGTATTATCTAACGCAGTTTGCCTCCCGCCCGGATCCACAACTGTTTCAATACATTGCGATGTTTTGGTGCTAAATTCATAAATACAGTAATTATTATGTAACATTACCTTGTGTTGAACTGCTTTTTTCTGTAAAACATGATGTTTTGGTGCTTAATTTGTAAATTCATAATGTAATAAGACATTTAATAGTGTTTTCCTTAATCCCTCCTTATTATCCAACATTTTTTACCTATCCAACATTCTGCCGGCCTGTTTATGTTGGATAAGCAAGACTCTACTGTACTTTAATCTGACCCTTGGATTAAGGCAATCTAGGCTTTTTAGGATGATCATTTCATTTTAAAAAGTCTTTCCTATGTATGTCTGGTCTTCAGACTTCTAAGATAAACATGGATGCAAAGTCTTATTCAGTTGTCTTTCTGCTCCAGCCCTTTCCATTTTCATCATCATGCTATAATTTGAAAAGTTAATCAACAATGTCAGTTCATTGATAGTGTAGCGATGTTTCTTTACTCTTATGTCATCAAGAAATCAATATTTATGTATGTATCCAAGGTTAAGAAAGAGCCATAGAAACCATTGAGTTGGAAGAGACTCCAAGGGCCATCCAGTCCAACCCTCTCCCTGTAACTTGGAGAGGTACAGCCTGCCTGAGTTGTTAATACTGAACCAGTTGACTATTGACCTGAACCAGTTGACTATTGACCTGAACTATTGACCTGAACTCAATATTCAACTCAATTGAATACTGAACCAGTTGACTATTGACATGACTCAATATAAGGCAGCTCTCCTTTATTATTAAGGTCCAAAATTGCTGGCAGTCAACTCTTCTACTCAACCTCTCCGTATCCTTGTTGCGCCATTTCTGTTCCAGGATGCTAAAATGCTAGAGGCTGTCTTGCTGACCTTGTGTAACCTTTGAGCATGAATGCAACTAGATACTGAAGCTGGGTGCTTTGTGTCTCTTTGTCTGTCTTTCCTTGGCCATCTGATTTACTCCCTCTCCCTGAGCTTTCTGTTGGCTGTCATGAATCAACTTTGCCAACCATACTGATTTCTTTTCCCATTTTTCTTTTTCCCCCTTTTGTCTCTCTGCAGCCTTTACTGGGGAAAGCCTGCCTGTAAGTATCTTTTTGCAGGTGACCTCTTTCCTTTCTCACTCACCTGGCTTTCTTTGTTCCTCACGCTCCGCTTACACCGCCTTTGATAACTTGCGAAGCTTTCTTTGGCTGACGGGAACACAAAGTGATGGGTTTAACCCACTTTAGCAGAATATTAGGAAGCTGTATAATCCTCACTTGTCATGAAAGGAGAAACTGTAATGCTATGTATGTTATCAGTCTTTCTAGCAGACAGTAGTTCTATACACTACATGATTTGAATTCAGACGAGGCCAAGTTGAAAAGACAATGACCATACAATCCATATTATAGATAATCTGTAATGAACTAGATGAACCAGGAGTCCCCATCCATTGTATCTGTATCAGGTCCCGATGGCTGATCCTTCAGTTGTGAAACGAAACCTAGCCAGAGATCTGAGGCAGAATTTGATATGGACTTTTGTTGGCGGGATAGCGGAATCCACTGGAAAGAAGGGAAGTTGATCTCCCTCTTCATGGATCCCATTCCCTGTCCTCTGTATGTTCTCAGAAGCTACAGTGAACTTCAGGATGGAAGGAAGGGACATCTTGCCATTTGGTTACGTTTAAGCCCTGTAGTTTCCAGTGTGCTGGATAACCTTCCAAATGTTTTTGGATGCTGATTTCCACCTTCTTCTGCCAAGACTGATGGTGGGGTCTGATGGAAGTACCAGTTCATTGGAGGTCCATGGGTTCCTCAACATTTGGTTCTGAAAAAAATACTGTTTCAGAACTAAAAAGGCTTGTTTTCTCCAAAAGATATAATGTAAATTGTAGGCTGAGATTCAACCTTGAGTAGTAATCTTGAGTTTTGGATCCCAAGGCTCTAGAACAGTGTTTCTCAAGCTTCCTAATGCCGCAACCCCTAATACAGTTCCTCATGTTGTGGTGACACCCAACCATAACATTATTTTTGTTGCTACTTCATAACTGTAACTTTGCTACTGTTATGAATCGTAATGTAAATATTTGATATGCAGGATGTATTTTCATTCACGGGACCAAATTTGGCACAAATACTTAATATCCCCAAATTTAAATACCTGTGGGGGGGATTGATTTTGTCATTTGGGAGTTGTAGTTGCTAGAATTTATAGTTCACCTACACTCTGAAGGTCATACTCTTTCCATCTCAAAAGAAAACTCTTTTGAATATTTTTTTCCCCAAGGAACCCTTATGTGATAGGGCTTTTGGGGTGACAATTATCTTAATTGTTCAGAAGATGTGACAGAGAAATTTTCCTATCAGAGGCACCATGCTTCCTCCCCTCACAATAGGGCTGGGAAGGACCTCTTCTTTCAACCTTCATTTCACCTTAGTGATGGGCAGAAAGTAGAAAATTGAATTAATTAGTCGTCCAACCTGGGGATAAGGCAGTGTTTGAGGTTTCTGTCTTAGTTGAGTCGTCGTTGTTGCCACCTCACCTTGATTTTGGAGGAATCCCTTGCATCATTGCATTAGTTTTAAGACAGTTTTGCTCCATGGTCGCTCTTCTTCACCGCTTGTCTCTCTCTTCCCTTTCCACGCTGAAAGATGGCCCCTTTGCCACCTTTTCAACCTTTTTGCTTTACTAATATTTCCAAGGTAAATGGTTTGCTGCTCTGCCTGCTGTGCTGTCCCCCAAACCTACCCTCAGCTCATTGAAATAACAATCTAGATGGTTTCTGCCTTGGCTTTTTCTTTGTCTGTCTCCCCCCCCCCCCCCCCCCCCCCCCCCGCGCGGTGTGTTTTGAGGAAGGCAAGCTTAGGTGAAGGCAAGGTTTGTGGTTTCTGGTGATGCACGAATGAGAACTCCTTTCAGCAGCTGCTTCCCTTCATTGGAAATGCTTTCATTTGGAGCAAATGTGTGTCTTTCTCAGGTCTTGCTTTGTGTCTCCAAATACTTATGCAGCATTTGCTTTCTGCCAAATGCCAAACTGGATGGGTTATATATGCATTTTTGGGCCCTGCTTTCCCCTCCCTTTATCTTTGCAGCTCTTTTAAGTGCCTTCACTAAGCAAAACTTGATGGAATGTGCTAGTGTTTTGATGAATCGGTTTCTTTACTATTATAGAAAGTATTTTAGTTTCTCAGTTACACAGAATTGTTCATCAGACATGACAGAGACATTGCATTTTCTTTAGCATTTACTAAAACATATCCCTGAAGCAAAAAGCCAAAGATTCTAGACAGGTCATTGAATCATAGAATCAAAGAGTTGGAAGAGACCTCATGGGCCATCCAGTCCAACCCCATTCTGCCAAGAAGCAGGAATATTGCATTCAAATCACCACTGACAGATGGCCATCCAGCCTCTGTTTAAAAGCTTCCAAAGAAGGAGCCTCCACCACAGAGAGTTTCACTGTATTACTGTACAGAAGGCAGGTAACATTTTGAACCTGCCTCTTATGTGCTGATCAAGGTGGCCAATGGCAACATTCCCACTTGCCTCCAGCAGACAAGAGTTCTTTCTCCCACCCTGGGCACCATTCCACAGATATATAAACCTCACTTGCCTAGTTTCCAACAGACCTCACAACCTCTGGGGATGCCTGCCATAGATGTGGGCAAAAGGACAGGAGAGAATGCTTCTGGAACATGGCCATACAGCCTGGAAAACTCACAGCAACCGAATTACCCCAAAATTCAGGCCCCTTCAACACTGCCCTATATCCCAGGATCTGACCCCAGATTATCTCCTTATACCAGATTATATGGCAGTGGAGACCCATATAATCCAGTTCAAAGCAGATAACTTGGGATGAGATCCTGGGATATAAGGAGAGCATAGAAGGGGTCTCAGGGCCCTTCCAGACAGCTCCTATATCCCAAGATCTGATCCCAGTTTTTTTGCTTTCATCTGGTTTATGAGTCCCCACTGCCAGATAATCTGGGATAAACAGAAAACCTGGGATCAGATCCTTTGATATAGGGCCTGTCTAGAAGGGCCCGAAATCTTCCCATAACATTTGCAGATTTAACCCTTGGATATCGGGCCTGTCTGGAAGGGCCCTAACTCTTCCCACAACATTTGCAGATTTAACTTTTGTGGAGCTGATTAATAGTATCTTTGTATGAATCTTGAGGTCTTCCAGTGCAACTGTGGTCACAGAAAGACCTAGAGGGTTATAGAGAAGTGTCCTCATAGGTTAAGAACTTCAGTATCTATTGTTTTTCCACTTAAGGGATGCCATGCACCTAATCCTAGAGATTGTAGAAGTCTGGCTGTAATAACTAAACATACCATTGAAAAACTTTCCATAGTGTTTTCAAGAAAGGGGATCATGCCTATCACCTGTGGACTCTGTTCCTTCATTGTGCTGTATGTCCAAATTAGCTCAAAATACAGTGTTTAGTCCCATGGCAGCATGCACCTACCAAAATGGTTAGCTCCATGTAGACAAAACAGGTCTACAAATCTTTAATCTTTCTCCATATAGCTCTCAAGGAAGCCAAGGAATAGTCTTTCCTACTGAATATAATTTTGCAATACCTTCATTTGGTAAAAAATATAACACAGGGTAAGCAGGGAAGGGGTGTTGATGACTATTTGTCACCTTCAGAAGTAACAGGCATTTCTTCAGTGCTCCTCTTCTCTTGCAGAACTTGGTTTCAGGTCCTTTGGGGGTTGTTTTGGTACCTACTTTCCACCAAACCATTACAACAGCTACCTCAAGCCAGAGGCATTGAGCTCTTCCTATAATAGCCAGCAACAGACATCACACAAACCTTTCTGCGGGCCAGGCAAACAGATAAGACCAGTGGGTTGCTATTATTTTTCCGGGCTGTATCACCATGTTCCAGAAGCATTCTCTCCTGATATTACGTCCACATCTATAGCAGGCATCCTCAGAGGTTGTGAGGTTTGTTGGAAACAAGCCAAGTGGGGTTTATATATCTGTGGCATGTCCAGGGTGGGAGAAAGAACTCTTCTCTGCTTGAGGCAGGTATGAATGTTGCAACGGGCCTCTTTGATTAGCATTGAATGGCCTTGCAGCTTCAAAGCCTGGCTGCCAGCTGTAACATTTACACTTGCCTCAAGCAGACAAGGGTTCTTTCTCCCACCCTGGACATTATTTCACAGATATATAAACCCCACTTGCCTAGTTTCCAACAGACCTCACAACCTCTGAGGATGCCTGCCAAAGATGTGGGGAAAACGTCAGGAGAGAATGCTTCTGGAATATTTATGTATTTTATTTATTTATTTATTTATTTGCGGCACTTGTATCCTGCCCTACTCAACTCCGAAGGGGACTCAGGGTGATAAATTGATAAATAAAAGCATTAAAAACCTACCAGTTGAACAACAATTTACAAATCATATGGCCATACAGTCCGGAAAACTCACAGCAACCCAGTGATTCTAGCCATGAAAGCTTTCAACAACACATGGAGTCAAAATCAGCTTTCATTTCACTGGCTCAATGACCTGTGCTTAGGACACAATGAAATACTGGGTTGTTGTAGGTTTTTGGGCTATATGGCCATGTTCTAGAAGCATTCTCTCCTGACGTTTCGCCTGCATCTATGCCAAGCATCCTCAGAGGTTGCGAGGTCTTGCTTGCCATAGATGCAGGTGAAACGTCAGGAGAGAATGCTTCTAGAACATGGCCATATAGCCCAAAAAACCTACAACAAGCCAGTGATTCCAGCCATGAAAGCCTTTGACAATACAATATTTTTCACAATTCAGTCCAGGGGAGGAGATGAAGGAGGGAAATGAATGAAACTCCAGCCTGTTTGGCTTAGGATTCAGTGTGTCTTTAGCAAGGTCATTTTGCCCTGTGGCTATTACTATCTCCCTTGATGATGTTTCCATAGCAATCTCTGTAGTGGATTCTTGTTGCTTTTTGAAAACCTTTTGCATGCCAATTACATCTTGCTTCTCTCCTGCTGTTGCATTGAAACTTTAAAAAAAAACAATGAACTCAAAACTTCCTTTCTTTCCCTTTTCTCTCTTTGGTCACAGAACCTGAACTGTTCCCAGAAGCAATCTTGAATTTTCTTGGGTCGAAGCTTGAAAAACCGCCGACGGAAGCCCGGCTCCTTTGCATCACCATCCATCCTCCGAAGCTTGCGTCTGCTGTACGAACGACTCATTTGACATGAGGCTGATGGCCCTGGAAGATGATCACCTGCCTGCCTTTCTGGACTGAACAGAAATTGAGAGTTTTTGGGAAAGGCAGGGGAAATAGAGAAAGAGAGACTGAGAAGAGGGAGAAGGAAAAACAAAGCATCTCATAATGTAAACACTGGATTACGCTGGTCGCTCCTCCCCAGTAGACTACAGTAGGCTCCAATGTACTACGTTGCAAACTGTTATATCCTAATCAATTTTATTTTTTGTTATGATTTTTGTAAAGTGACACTGTTGCCTTGCTGAGGAAGGAGGAGAGGCGGCACACTGTGTTTGCAAAACCAGACGGTCTCTGTGCACATATGAGAAAAGTAGTTTGAGAGGAGGTCATAAAGGCTGCTCTTGGAGTCACTAACCAGTGTGTCTGCTCTCAAAACAGTTTGCATGTCTCTTGTATACACTCCACTTAGGAAATATGTTGGTCACCTGCAGAACTTGTGCCAGTTTTGGGATTGAGAATGGGGAAGAATTTGCAATGTCTCCTTCCAAAGAGGGAATTTCAGCTGCCTTTCTGGGCTGGGAAATCTCTTTGCTGATAAACATAGCATGCAGCTGATGGCCTGGGTTGCGGGTGATAAGTGGAACGTGACGGTCTGAAAATATTGTTGATTTTGATTTGACCGAATGGATAAAAGAAGCATGTATGTATTGTGTTTTTTTTTGCAAGCTAGCTTTTCACTTTATTTTTACTTCCTTCTGCCTTTTCACCCCATTTATGCAGGGCATTAATCCAGCTGTAAAGGAAGCGTAGAAGACTAATCTGTTGACGTTGCTTTTGGGGATGCGCCGAGGATTAGTTGGCTGTTTCTGTTAGTTCTCTAGGGATGCACCTTGACCATTTACTCCTTTCCATTTCCACCAGTGTCATTTCCCTACATGCAAGACAGCCTGCCTTCTTCCATATTCTGCTTCCCCTTCCTTTTCCCCCAACAAAGCCTCCCAAATGCGAGCATGGATAGATCTTGATCCAACAAAGGAGATTGTTTCTCATCACATTAGAGAAAAATATCCACTTAAAATCCGGTTTCTGCCTCCTGCAGAATCCTAGGGTTTGTAGTTTAGGGAGGAGCCTTTAACAGCCTCACAAAACTACAAATCCCAGAATTCTGCAGGAGGCAGAAACTGGATTTTAAGTGTATTTTTTTCTCTAGTGTTATGAAGTGGAAAGGCAAAACACCCCTTAAAAGTGGATCTGATAGTGCAATCTATAAAGTACGGCTGGGCAAAGTGGGACCTTCCAGATCCCTTTGGATGTCCATCTCCCAGCATCTTCTCACCATTGGCATTGCTCACCAGGACTGATGGGACTTGCATTCTCATTGGAAGGGATCTGCTTTGCTCCCTCTTGCTCTCGTTGGCATTTGCAAGAAATCTGGGCATCCAAAAGCAAATGCAGGCTCATTTCAGACCCCTTTCCTACTCCTCATTTGAACATTTTCAGACTGAAATACTTGATAGGAAAGTCGGTGGTTCTTGATCCAACAAAGGCAAAACACCTCTTAGAATTGGATCTAACAGTGCAATCTATAAAGCAGGGTTGGGCAAAGCAGGTCCTTCCAGATGCAGTCGGACATCCATCTCCCAGCTTCCTCTCACCATTGGCGTTGCTCACCAGGGCTGATGGGACTTGCAGTCTCATTGGAAGGGATCAGCTTTGCTCCCTCTTGTTCTTTTTGGCATTTGCAAGAAATCTGGGCATCCAAAAGTAAATGCAGGCTCATTTCAGACCCCTTTCCTACTCATTTTCAGACTGAAATACTTGATAGGAAAGTCAACGTGGTTCTTGATCCAACAAAGGCAAACCCCCCCCCCCCTTAGAATTGGATCTATAAAGTAGGGTTGGGCAAAGCAGATCCTTCCAGATGCAGTAGGAAGTCCATTGCCCAGCTCACCAGGGCTGATGGGACTTGCAGTCTCATTGGATCAGCTTTGCTCCCTCTTGTTGTTTTTGGCATTTGCAAGAAATCTGGTCACCCAAAAGCAAACGCAGGCTCATTTCAGACCCCTTCTCATTTGAACGCTTTCAGACTGAAAGACTTACTAGGGAAGTCAACGTGGTTTGCGTGTTTACAATTTGAGGAACCATTTGAGGTTGGCTTTTGCAAAGGCGAACAGCAGTGCCTTCAGCCTTAGCCTTGTGCCGTGACAAGTGCTTTAGTATGTTTGTTTTTTTCCTTTTTTCTTATTGACAAAAAGTAGTATTAAACTGTGACACATATGAGATCGCTGACCATTTTTACAGGGATTTGCAGTGTGGAGGGATTTATAAGTGTGTCCTTGTGTATAGGTAGAACAACCCTTTTGTTTTCTAGTGACTGTTTTAAAACCCCATCCACTTTGGGGAGGGGAAGAGTGTGTTTCCAGAGTGTCTTTGCACACAACGAGGTTTTTTATTTCCTCCCAGCTTTTTAGCCATTGGGATTCTCTGTTTCCTCCCTGACTTTAATTTTTTTTTAAGCGTGTACATGACTTTATCTATTGCATTTCCAACAAGTGGCTATTTTTGTGGTCCTTGTTTTGCCTTCTGTCCCACTTAGATAAACCCATTGGGGGAAACACCATGGCTTCTGCTGCCCTGTGATAACACCCTTGCTTAGTCTTATAGAAATTGGAAACCGAGGGACATATAACTGGACCATAAGCAGGGAATCCCGGGACAAGAAGACAAACTATTTCTGCTTCAAGAGATTTTAGGGAAAGAGGGAAACATTTAATGTTGGGTGAGTTAGTGTTTTTGCAGAACTACCAATTGGGGAGGCTCAACCATTATGAAGATACCATTGGTTGTGTAGAGAAAGGCAATTGAAAACCACACCGATGACTCATTCTTTGATTGTGTTTTTCCTTTGATACTTGAATTTCTATTTTTATCATTTTTAATAGCAAAAATGCTATTTATTTAATATTTAACGGATGTTGCAAGAACTGAGAAAGGAAGTGTGCATTTTTTCAACGTGTGAGGTTAATTTTGTATGTATATATATATATGCATTTGGAATAATTTCTGTATTGTTTTTGGTGGGTGGGAAGAGGGTGTTGCCTGAGGCGAAGCAGTGCCAGCGTACTCAACAGGTCTGCCTTTTGGAAATTTGTATATTTTGCAGTTGCTGGACCAATTAAATATCTTCTTGAAATAAGATGCTCATGAGTCTGTGTGTCTGTTCACAAAATGTTTTATTGCTTTATGGGTGTTTCCAATTAGTATTAATTTTCTAGCCCATTTTATTTACTACTAGCCTGGGTACCCAGCGTTGCCCAGGTTATTAGAAAATGTCATTTCTTAATTGTACAAAATGCATAAAGTTGTGGGTGAACTACAACTCACATCATGCCAGGTTAACCTCCCGAAACTCCCATCAGTAGTTGAAGTTTGTCATGTTGGGCAAGTTTGCTCTAGATGCATCATTGTTGGGGTTCAGTGTGATCTCTGGTTGCAGGATAAAATACAGCTCCCACCATGGTGGTTCAGTCCCCTCAAATCCCTCCAGTTGGTTCTGGGTGCCAAGTTTGGTCCAGATCCATCAACCGCAGTGGTTACAGTGTCTCTGGATGTAAGTGAACTACAACTTCCAGAAATGAAAGTCAGTTCCCCCCAAACGCCTCCAGTATTTTCAGTTAGTCATGGGGGTTCTGCGGGCCAAGTTAGGTCCAGGGCCATCTTTGGTGGTGTCCAGAGTGCTCTTTGGTCGCAAGGCCGAACAGGGTATAGGGTTACAGCCTGCGTTGGACGGGGTCACACTCCCCCTGAAGACGCAGGTTCGCAGTTTGGGTGTGATCCTGGACTCATCGCTGAGCCTGGAACCCCAGGTTTCGGCGGTGACCAGGGGAGCATTTGCACAGCTAAAGCTTGTGCGCCACTGCGCCCGTACCTTGGGAAGTCTGACTTGGCCACGGTAGTCCACGCTCTGGTTACATTCCGTTTAGACTACTGCAACGCTCTCTACGTGGGGTTGCCTTTGAAGACGGCTCGGAAGCTCCAATTAGTCCAACGGTCGGCAGCCATGATACTAACAGGAGCGGAGCGCAGGGAGCATACAACTCCTCTGCTGCACCAGCTCCACTGGCTGCCGATTTGCTACCGGGCTCAATTCAAAGTGCTGGCGTTGGCCTTTAAAGCCCTAAACGGTTCTGGCCCAACCTACCTATCCGAACGTATCTCGGCCTATCAGCCCACCAGGACCCTAAGATCTTCTGGGGAGGCCTTGCTCTCTATCCCGCCTGCTTCACAGGTGCGGCTGGCGGGGACGAGAGACAGGGCCTTTTCTGTGGTGGCCCCTCGGCTCTGGAACGCCCTTCCCATGGAGGTAAGATCAGCCTCCTCGCTGATGGTATTCCGAAGAAGACTAAAAACTTGGATGTTCAAGCAGGCATTTGGTTAATTCGGTGCAATGAATGTGTTGATTACGGATTGGTAATATGGATGATGCAATTGGACCACGATTTTAGTTAGGAGATGTATTGGATTGTGATTTACGTGTAATATTGTGTATTATGTTTTTTATGGTTTTAATTGTATACTGTGCACTGTATAATTTGTTGTAAACCGCGTTGAGTCGCCAGTTAGGCTGAGAAACGGCGGTATACAAGGACAGTAAATAAATAAATAAATAAATAAATAAATATAAATCCCAGTACCTACAATGGCTATAAATCAAGTCTGGAAGTCACTGGACAAGGCAGCTGAAATGTGCCCATCTGTTTCTTGTGTCCCTCTGCAATCCCATTTCACTGATGGGAAGCATTTATTTACCATAATATATTCATTAATTGCTTTCAGGGCTGCCATAGCGATGTACAATGCAGTATATCATCATTGAGCGATTTATATAGTCATCTTATATGGTGATGTTTATTTATACCCCATTTTTTATCTCCACAAAGGAGACTCAAAAGCATTAGGATGCCAGCGTGTGACAGGATAAAGACCAGCAGATAATTCTTATAATCTGGAACCAGGGCAGTTGCGGGTTCACTTGCTTCTGGGCCCAGGCAGGATGGAGCAGTGCCTCCTGCTTCTTTGCAACCAAAGCAATTGTAGTTGCCGTGGAGGGAGGAGGGCCTTTCATCTGCTCCTGATGCTAAGCATGGTGGAGCTGGGCCTTTCTTCTCTTCCTCTGCAGCTAGGGCAGTGGCAGTTAGGATGGAGGGAGGACCTTCAGCCTGCATCTGTGCCTAGGCATGATGGAGCCGGGCCTGCTTCTAAAGCCCAGGCTGTGACAGTTGGGATACATGGAGGTCCTTCATCTACTTCTGGATCCAAGCCTGATGGAGCTATGACTGTTGTCTTCTGTCCCTTGGTCTAGGGCAGTGGCACTTAAGATAGAAGGAAAGCCCTTGGTCTGCTTCTGGGGCAAAGCATTTTGAAAACTGAATGCCATGGAGAGCAAAGCAGTTATAGCTACCTTCCAGAAAGCTCAATAAGTATGGAGACTGCAAGAGGATGATGAACAATGGAGATTCTGCTGTGGAAATGCCTTGTCTCATATACTCAGCATCCCACCATGTTGAGGTCATGGTGGGATGCTGAGTATATGAGATATAGGTATAAGGGTTGGATGAAAAGTAATGCCTCCACCTTCGAAACTCAACAGATAATAATAATAATAATAATAATAATAATAATAATAATAATCTTTATTTGTACCCCACTACCATCTCCCCAAGGGACTTGGTGCGGCTTACACGAGGCCGAGCCCACAATACATCAATACAAGCAATAACAACAGCAATAAAAAACAATTACAGCTCATAAACAAAAAAGCAATAAACAATGACAGTAATATAGCACACATTTAAATCTATGGCTGGGCCAAATGTAATAAAAGTTTAAAAAATAATGCTAGACATGAACAAGATAGGAGAGATGGGGCGTTGGTGAGAGCGTACAAACAATCCTAAATCAGTGTAAAGTGCATTTAGAGGACATAATGCTGAGAGTTCATTATTCTGGGAAGGCACACTGGAACAACCATGTTTTCAG